ATATATATATATATATATGCAATTATGCAGTTACAAATAATATTAACAAATTAACATATTTCACCCGTTTTACGACAGCAATATTGACTATATGTATACAAAATATTTACGGTTATGCAATTGCTGAAATTTAATTCTATTATCAATAATCACATTTCTTTCATGTATACGAATGCATTTTCATGTAAAACTTTTCGAGCTAGTAAACAAATTAAATTCTTAACAGAGACAAATTCGAAATAAAAAAATCAATAAAAATTTACATTCGTTAAAAACTGATGAACTTTATTGTTTAGGGTCCAAATGACAAACATTTTAAACAAGCAAAAATTAATAGTGCAATTTCCACACTTTCACTAGCAAATAATATAATAGGCAATACGTAACAAGTAAGTGTATGATTAAATGCAATAAATACAGAGGAGCGAATATCTGTTGGTTGCTAGTAAGGTATCAATTAAGTCGGTAAGAAAATATTTGGAAACGCACTGTATAATTTAAAATTGAACACATTGACAAATAATTAAATATCCTTTCACTCAAAAGCTGTAACCTAGACGTTCCGTTATTACCGTAAACATAAGAAACTTTATCTATACAAACAGAGCAGGCTAGTTCCATAATACTGTATTATGAGAAGAGATAGCTGCACTGATTATTTTTTTTTACCGTTTTTATTCACTATCTCGTAAACAGTTAGTAGTAATAAAGTCGAGTGAAATTTTACAAAATCGTCTGTTTTAAAAACATAAATCGATCTCCTTTCTTTTTTTTTTTCTACAACCTTTAACCGAATGGTGCAATTTTTAGTCACTTTTTGGACGGTTGGGCAAACTGACAAAGTAAACAAACCTACGCTAGAAGAATAAAAGTTGTTATTATTATAAATATTAGTGAAGTGATTGATTACCTATTCAGTTTATCATATTTTAGAAAAAGTTGTGCGAAATATAAATATAAAAAGTACCTCCCTGATAGATAATATAATTGTACAAAAATTTAATAATTGAAAAAACTCACGACATGTATGGGGGTCCTCGTCACTTTTATCGGGACAATCGTTTTCGTTATCACACTGCCATTGCCCAGGGATACATTTTCCGCTGGTGCACTTGAATTCGTTCTTTGAACAAGTTAAGCTTTCTGAAATTAAAAATTCATCATTCAGTCAACAAAGTTACAAAGTGGAACATTTCATTTCTTTTGTCAACAATCCTAAAAAAAATTTTGTAAAAATTTAGTAATTAAGTTTTGCCGCTCAAATGTTATGAATATAGATACATTTTTTATATATGAATACCGCTATCATCATCTTTTATTAAGGTGATTTTGCTATTTATTGCTTATAAATTCTTTAGAATTTCACACTATATCTTACAGTAGAATAATGTTGTATTTATTATCATTATTTCGATATGTCTCCAATTATAATAAGAAATTTGAAAAAAAAAATAATAATTAGTGCTCGTGTGTATATACTAACCAAAAATAATGTAGGTCGATAAAAAGCCGATAAACTACTAAATTGCGTATAAATTAATTTTAAATCATAATTTGGTGATAATATTTTGAAATGACCATGACTAATACGTCACACATTGATATTTGTAAGGAAGTATTCCTTATTTGTAATTAAATTTATACGTTTCGAAATATTAAGATCAATTTCAATAGCACTCTGAATGAATGACGAAAAGTAAATTGCGACTTACAATTAAAAAAAAAGATACTTTTAGAAATTAGTTTTTTTTATCGTACATTAAAATTTATTATAACAATTATTTTAATAAGCACAAAAAAATGTTCTTTTATCCTTTTATTGAAAAAAGTAACGTAATGTTTTTATTTCCTTTTTTTTTAAGCAAAAATTGTCTTTTCAGAGCCCTTGTGTTCAAATTTTATTTTAATGTACAAATTATTTAACTACACTAAACAGTTTAAGAAACCAAAGTTAATACTGGAAGAAAGATCCAAATCCTCACCTGTTACATGTCTTTCTGTACTAGTAATAAACGCACTTGCAACTTCTATCCAAATAAAGGTAACAAAAAACGCACTGATTATCGATAAAAACGAGTACATTTTACTTAAAATACTGACAAAACGAGAAATATCCTTTCACAAAAGCGCTAGAAGAGTTTAAAACATTTAGTTCTCTCGGTATCGGCAATTTTTAGATCAATTCGAAGTAATGATAAAATTTCGCGTGTTAGTAAATTCGCAAGCGGATTAAGTCCGCTTATCAAAGAGGGATAATATATAGTTAATAAGTAACAGTAATGCTGTTCGGTAGTGGGATTTCCGTATAAGAACAAGATAACGCAATGGGTAAGCGGTCTGCTTCTTCTCCCTCTTATATGTACTGCAAAACTACCTTACAAAAAGCCCGAGGTTGAATGTCCATCCAAACAGGCTACTTAACATTTTTATTGGATGTCTGGTTGAAGAGAAATTGTAGCTGATGCAATTTCAACTAAAATTAACTGACAGGTAAACACAGGTATCGTTTACCCGAATAAAAACCATAAAACAATCAATTTATAACAATTCCAATATTTTATAGGCCACCTACCTGTCTCTTTCGTAATTGTTATCAATTATTAATTTCTTCCTCGTTGAAAAAATTGTTTTCAGAATAAGGTACAATAAAAGTGAAAGCTAAAACGTACGCGTTCCTAGGTACATGTGTAGTTTTACCACTTTTAAAGGAAAATAGATAGGTGCTTACTTTAATAAATTTCTTCTCTATATACCGGAAGCTTCATTGTCTTTTTAAAGGAATTTAGATTAATTAAATTCTTTATCGGCATATGCCACATTGTACGAGGAAATGATTTCTTCAACTTTTAACAAATATCTATGTATGTGTTATACAATTCGTTTAAACTTCGCTAATTGTAATAAATTAGTTTGAATCGTTTATGGTATATAAAAACAAACTCACGGTTCATAAATAAACTCAAAAATTAAGAGTCAATCAAATGTCCTAATCCTAATTTAGAGTATCCAATTTTTAACATTAAAAATGACGTAACTACATTATAAGTGAAATCACCAGAGAAAAACACCTAATACTTTGAAGTACCTGAGTATATCACATTTAAAAATTGGTTCTAATTTGTTATACTATATGTGTTTTAAACATCTTTATTATTGAGATGATTAGCCGGTCACAAGGAAAAATATCAATCTTAATTAACTTAAATAAAGAGTAGATATTTTAAAGGGTTAATTTGTATATGTATATCTAGTATTGTAATTGTGTAGCTTATAATTTCAATTATTCGTAAATGTTAGAACACTAATTTATTCATACATTTATTGAAGATGTTTAAAAGTCTTGAACCCTTGACTTTTAACTTCCCAGTCATAAGGAAGTTATTGTAAATTTGCAAGGGGTCCGAAAATCAAAACCATTTACAAAATATCGCATGAACAAAAAATGATATCGAGTTTGATTTTGAAGTTTCTTGGATATTTTATTTATTTATTTATTTAAAGGCTTCGCTCGTGTTGATGTCCTAAATACGTGTCAAAGTTCACTGACGATCACATAAAACTATTACTAAACTATTTTTTTTTCGGATAAAGGGTACCCTATGTCCTATTCTGTACTCCTGACTATGTGACTACAAAATTTTATGATAATAGATCGAGTAAAAGCATGAACTCGACCATATAAAACTAATTTCTTTCTATCCCTCGGGAACAATGTCTTTTCTGGATAAAAGGTACCCATATGTGCTTTTCTGTACCCTGATAAAGTGTGTACAAAATTTCATGATGATCGATTGAGTAGTTGAGGTATGAAATCGACCACAATGAACTAATTTTTTTATCTCTCGGAAACAGTATTTTTTTCGGATAAAGGGTACCCTATGCCCTTTTCTGTATCCATGACAATGTTTCTACAAAACCTCATGATGATAAATTGAGTAAAAGCATGAAATCGACCACATAAAACATTATTTTTCTGTCCCTCGGGAACAATATCCTTTCTAGATAAAAGGTACCCTATATGCTTTTATGAACCCCTGACAATGTGTCTACAAAATTTGATGATGATCGATTGAGTAGTTGAGATATGAAATCGACCATAATGAACTAATTTTTTCTATCCCTCGGGAACAATGTCTTTTCTGGATAAAAGATACCCTATGTGCTTTCTGTACCCCTGAAAATGTCTGTCTAAAATTTCATTATGGTCGATTGAGTAGTTGAGGCGTGAAATCGACCACATTGAACCAATTTTTTTATACCTCAGGAACAGGTTTCTTTTTGTCGGATAAAGGGTACCCTATGTCCTATTCTGTACCCCTGACAATGTGTCCATAAAATTTCATGATGATCGACTGAGTAAAGGCATGATATCGATCACATAAAACTAATTTTTTTCTATCCATCGGGAACAATATTTTTGCTGGTCCCTAACAATGTGTGTTAATGATGATCGGTTAAGTAGTCAAGACATGAAAAGCCGATAAACAAACAAACACATTCGCATTTACAATATAAGTTAGGATAACATACAAAGTAGGTGGCATATGATATATAAACGGAACGCACACAGCATATGAAGAACACTATAAAATATTAGTTGATTTGATGCTAATTACAACTAAAAAATAAAAAGAAAAGAAAAACAGATGGTATTGAACACGCGTATCGTTGAAATTAGAGCTGATTGAACGCTCTTAAGTGTGGGGATGGCAGAGTTATGACATTTTTAACTACTAATAGTAATGATTTTTTCCTTACTTTTGTAGTGGATAAAAAAAACAAAAATGATTTTAAATTAACATGGCAGAGTTGTATTTTCTGATAACCATTCGATCATTTTTTAAAAAAAGTACCTAATCTAATATGACTAGAAATAATAAAATCACATTTCAAATTATCTGTATCACTAAAAATGAAATATAAAAACTACTGTTTAGTGTTTCTTTTTCATTTTACTTATTTTCGTATAATAGGGAATTAACACGTAAAGAAAATTTCAAATGTCCCGTTATTGCATTTAAACCGTACCTATTTTCATATTTGTAATTTTAGTTTAAACACTAATTATCTCCACTCAATGCGTAATATTATGTTTAATGTGTGATATTATGTTTAGAAATAATTAGCAGCAAACTTGAGATCAAGTTCCTTACCTATCACAACTATTTTATGGGCATTGCATCATAATTCATCAAGTCTTACGACCGTTATTGCATCATTCACGTGATCAGCAGGCAGGTAACGGATACAAATACATAATGCATATATTGCAGTCGATAGGAAAAATCCGGTATTTTCTAATACGGCTACACAGCAAGAAACAACAACGACCAACTGAACATTTTGGACCACATGTATGTGATGCAGTGAGTTAAATAATGAATTTTGTCAAACCTAAGACATTTTTTTTAACTACGATTATACGAGGGTGGGTCATGTTTTAGTCAGAGAGGGCAACTCTATACATATAGGACTATTAAATAATATCAAAATGTTTCATATATACATTTCTTGTTTGACTATTATGAAAGTGAACGCTCACGCACACATCAAACGTTACAACTTGGGCTTTGAATTACTCCCCCATCCACCTTATTCTCCAGATTTGACCCCGTGTGACTTTTTTTCCTGTTTCTAATTTCTATATAATATCTGTATCACAGTTTAAGGAACGCTGAGCTACTTTCCTAATGCTTAATGAAATATTTGACAATTCGGCAGAACATTTAGTAACTCGCTAACGAAAATGGCACTGCTTATTGTTAATCGTATTTAACAATGTTAAATTTTACAGATTGGCTGCGAGTTAAACAAACGATTGCGTTTTTTTAGTAAATCTGCCTATCGCCTTATTTTCCTGTTATGTCCCACTGCTAGAGAAGGCCTATGGCCATAGTGACAGTGCGGTTGTGCAATTTCACGGATGAGTACTACGACCATCCGCCGTATAGTTCAGACCTCACACCGAATGATTTTCACTCGTTTCGATAATTATAGACATGATTAAGTGAGAAATCTGTCTAGACGTACCTGACCTGACGATTATCCAAAAAATAAAAAAGACAGTATTCACCTTTTACTAATAAAATTATTTTGCTACGTACACGTGTCTCTCACTAGCTCGTTGGAAGTTAAAAAAAAATATAACTGTATAAATATTTTGTGAAACTAGTCATGCACATATTAATAAAATAAATACGAAAAAATTAAGCGTCAATCTAAAAATAATATAACCGACGAATCGTGAAATTGCAAGTGAGCTTAAATATTAACGTGATAGTATCAAAAGCGTTGCTAAGAGGGGGCTCGTGGTGTGAGATCAAAATCGCGTAATTTACGCGGTCCGTTTCTCTTTCAAACTCCGATACGTCATAAATAAGTCAAGTGAATATAATACCTGAGGACAGGCTTTCCAATAGCTTCTTCATAAAACATTGCCGTCAATGAATTTAAAATGAGCCTTGACATTGGCGGTCTTATAGCTCCACGCTAGTTTGGAAACGTCGTTCTCCTAGCCTATTCTTCCATTTATTTTTTTTAAAGATGGAAGCTATTCAAAACTATATTGTATGATAGGTGATCAAAAATGTTCTATTAAAATCACTCAATGAGCCGTTAGATCGCATCAGCACTGTCAGGAGGGGTGTTGTCATGGATCAAGGGAATTTCAAAAGTCGGAATGCCTGTTTTCGTTTTGATTAGCTCCCAGACCTAACGCCGAGTGACTTCGATGTTTTCCTACTTTTCCCGCTTCCAAAGTTACGAGGGGCTTCGCGACATCATCAAGATTCATTTAAATTCACTGGTAGCAACATTTCATGAAGAAGGTATTGGAAAGCTTATCCACAGATTCAACAAATGTCTCAATCGTCAAGGTGATTATGTCGAAAAGTAGTCACAGGTGTACCTATACAACTTTTGGTAATAAAACACTTTTTTTAATATTCGCTTGCCTTTTACTCTATCGGAGATTGAGAAAAATGGCCCTGGTATTTATGTATTCCACAATCATTTTGGAAGGATAAACTATTAGTAATAAAAATCGTTTTTCTACTGATCCATAATAAACTGATCTATTATATATATTTGCTAAATCCTTACTAGAACATTCTATTGGGTCTTCATCACTGTTATCCCCACAATCGTTGTCTTCGTCACAGGTCCATGACAACGGTACACACCTTTTATTATGGCACTGGAACTGTCGAATACTACAAGCAGATGTTTCTAAAACAAAAGAAATATTTAACTAGAAGTATTATATATATAACAATTAAATGTAATTAATACAGTTTTCGTTTACATTAACGTAATTAACCTAGAGAAATTTTAATAAAATTCACCATTTTATTCTGAAAATTGATTGGTCTTCTTTTTCATGAATATTATTTATAATTAAATATCCTGTATATGTAATAATAATATGTGTTATAGGTCTAAATTAACGTACCTATGTAAAAGTTTAATAAAAAAAATACTTAGGGCTACCCGAAATTTTGTAGAATGTTTCATGTTTTATTAAAACGAATAACATTTTTATATCTTTTTGGAGCTGCTATCGTTTTTGATCTCTATTTTTTTACCTCAGCAATTTTAACATTTTCTTTACAGTAAACGAAAACGAAATTCAA